TGAACAATTGTGAAGCTTACAATTCAAATCATGGTGTGGTGATGCGATATACGGGAAACATCACTGCTACTCACAGGCTCACCTTCAAAATTCAAAGGCTCGGCACTTGCCTGGATCAGCGCCAAAAGTCGGCGGGGTGTAGTGTTCTGAATATGGCTACGCCTATTATATTATTTGCATTCTGTTTAACGCTTGTAAGGTGTTAGCTGCTTATTCTTACATCCAGAGTTCGGTGGCTTTTTACCTCTAAACTGAACTTGAAGCAATCGATTTGTTCAACGAGACAGGAGGAGCGATGAACACGACGGATATAACGGCATGTTGTCGATGTCTGATAGGATTGATGTTCTGGAGTCTGAGTAGCACGGAGGGTAAGCTGTGGACGCGCTTTAAATGTGGTTAACTTAGAGTTGATAGATCATCGTTCGTGACCTCTTCCGATGCATAAAGCTTGCAGTGTTTTGAGAACTGCATGTGGCACAGATTAGCAACGGGCGGCGTCAGATGAGAACGTCGACAGAGTATTGAGGCTAATAGAGCTCAGAGTGATTTCCAGGACAAAGACGTAATTAGGCTCCACATTGGTTCCTGCTGTCCGTTGTCTGTGCAGTGTGAAGGTGGCGGTGATATCAGAACGGTGTTTGGACCTTGTTTGGCGCACCCACGCGTCACGCGTTTAGTGATCTGGTGAACTTGAAACTAAACGACTTGGACACATGTAAGTTGTTATCTATCTATTCTATATATATAATGTCGCCAGCAACCAAGCAACGCAAACTACGCCGCCGCTTCTCTTCCATTTCCCCTGCTGCAACATGGTCTCCTGGTGTTAGTAAACGGCGCAACAGCCCACCTGCTACATCTCTTGGTTTTGCCATTCAGGACTTACCCAACGGCATCGTCGAGGATTCCATACACTCTGCTCCATCACACAGACACATGTTTATCAAGTCGGAAGAGGAGGAGGAGAAACCAATAATTCCGCTCGTGTATTCGTCACTTCCTCCGACGCCAATATCTACTTCACCACCATTGCCTTTTGACCAGAAAGTGCCTCCGCCGTTGGAGCTAGAGATACAGCCAGAGAGGAAGCCAGACTTGGCTCCAGCTCCGTTTTCATTATGGGATTACCTCCAAGAAGAGCTGCTCGCGACGGACTTTGACTCACATCAAGAACTCAAATGGGAGCGCGTTTCTAACTTTTTGAGTATCCCACTCGCCATGGAAAAGGTAGGTAACCACTGCAGTCTACAACAGCAATACTAAACTCTTCATGCAGATAATCGGCTTTGGATTCATAGTCTGTCTCGACTCTTTTCTCTACACATTCACCATCCAACCTATCCGTTTCGTGTTCGCATTCACACGTTTCCTCGCAAACTTCCTCCTCTCCATCATCCCATTTCACGGTCTCAAACCTCCGCCTCTGCCGCCGTCCCAAAAAGCCGACATCCTCCGCACGCTGCTCCTCGTCTTGACCGTCGTGATATTGGTACCACTCACTGATGCGAGTAAAATATACCACACGATTCGCGGGCAGGATACTATAAAGCTTTATGTCATATTTAATGCCCTCGAAGTAAGCATGTCTTTCTATCATCTTGATTTTTGTCGCTAACGTGACGACTAGATTGCCGACAGGCTATGTGCATCTATTGGACAAGACATACTAGACTGCCTGTTCTCGCGATCAACTTTAGAGCCCCTCTCACATCGTATACCCTTAACAACGCACACATTCCGGCCCATCTTGTATTTCCTACTCGCCACCCTATACACTGGTACGTCTCTTTCCGCTCTTCTCGCACACACCTCGTATTCCTAATCCCGCATCTCAGTAACCCACGCCCTCGTAATGGTGTACCAACTCATCTCCCTCAACGTCGCCATAAACTCCTACGACCACGCCCTCCTTACCCTCCTCGTTTCTAACCAGTTCGTCGAAATCAAAGGGAGCGTATTCAAGAAATTCGAGAAAGACAACCTCTTCCAGATTACGTGCGCGGATATCGTGGAGCGGTTCACCCTCGCGCTGATGCTTACGGTGGTGGCGTTCCGCAACCTCATCGAGCTCTCTGGGTCCGAGTTCGTTGGGTCGGAGGGCTTTGTGCTCCCGAAGAGCTTTGGGAGCTTTAAGTTTGCGTGGACGAACAATGTTTTTTGGACGATTTCGTATGTACGTTGCCATGCCATCTTCTGTCCTTTCTTGCCCTTCAACTGACCTGACCTACAAACGACAGCCCGTACTAACAGTCATGGCTTCGGAAATGCTCGTCGATTGGTTCAAACACGCGTTTATAACCAAATTCAACCACATCCGTCCGTCTGTATATGAACGGTACACGGACGTGCTGTGTCGGGACCTCGCGAGCGGGAGTGCAGTCGGCAGACGCGGTGCACGCAAGGTATCACCTTATCGTCTTTCATCTGATACATAGCAGTACTCACTATGAACAAAGCACACTTATGTCGACCAGTCCCCCCTCGTCGCGCGCCGCCTCGGGTTTGCGTCCCTTCCGCTGGCGGTGCTGGCGATTATCATCGGGTGGCAGACCCTGGGACTCATGTTTTCCATGCGTTCAGATTACGATTGGATGAGGCTTTCGCACCCGACGTGGGTGGCGATTGGGGTGTTGTTTTGGATTTGGTACGTCCCCAGTCAGCTCCTGGACTTCCTATGCCTATGCTCAATCCCACCAACCCCCCGCAGCTTCCTCGTGATAAAAGTGATCATCGGCGTTAACCTTCTCTCCTTTGCGTCACACCGACAGCTCTCCATGTCCGCGCGCGAGCTCGCGGATGCGGTGAACGATTTCGGGCGCGATCCGATTGGGGAGGGGAAGGACGAGCGGGCGTATAATAAGAAGCTCAAGTCGTTGGTGGATAGGGAGGAGGACGATGTGCCCAGGACGGCGGAGATTGGTGAAGGGAATGGCGGAGGAGGGAAGGGAGGGAAGAAGGAGAGAGTCAAGTTGGAGGATTTGACACGGTATACGATGGTTAAGAGGATTTGGTAGCTGCTGGTGCATTAAAAAATGGTTTAATTTCAGCGGCCCGCCACGGTCCGCCACGGGCGCCAATCAATGATTGTCCGCGTCATCTCACGAGCTATAGATAGACCTCGCACCACTGCCAGTCAGCTCTTCGAACAACTCCTCAGTATTTTACCAGGAAACACGCAAGGTGTTATTCAATAATACTACAGTATTTCTTGATATCTGGGGTGTTATTGACGTGGTTTAGCTGGGAGTTTTCAAATGACGATTAGCTCACCAAGAGAACGAACCCCTGCTTGACGCATTCAGTCCCCTGCGTCCCCCCAATTAATTCACGACGAGATGTCCATGTAGCTAGGCCTCACATGCAAGGGATATCCCGATCTTAGCTCAGCTGGCAGAGCGCGAGACTGTAATGGTTGCAATCAATTCATCTTGAGGTCGCCTGTTCAAACCAGGCAGATCGGATGACCTTCAAATTCCCCAAAGTTTTTATCGGTCAGTCATCAGCAGGAGCTCTCTTAGTATTAGACTCTCCTCCCAAGAAGCCAGCTTCATAGGAAAGCATCAGCTCCAGGCCGTAGACGAACTCTGTGAAATATATTGTATTCCAATATGTCTACCAAATACTATTGTAAATCCGTGTTCCAACATGTAGGAGATAATAATAAAAGAAAGTGGCAGAGCGAGTGTGCGTGATGTAAAACCCGATACAAGGAGCGTGAGGTTCGCAAAGCACGAACGAGATGGAGACAAGAAGGAACGTAGTAAGGAACGTGAATGATACGGAGATCAAAAGGAGTGTGAGGCAGTGAGAGATAGGAAACGCGAGGCCAACCCAAAAGACAAAGGTTGAGTATCAAAAACTACGCACCAGGTCACCGGTGAGATAGTGTAAAAGAAGCGGGAAACAAGAGGAACCACCAGGCGCAGCCGTAGCCTTAGATCCACTGAATTTCTGCCTGGTAGCCTTTCATAGCAGCGTGTCTCGCGGCGCCGAGCCCAATAGCTCCCTTGGAGCTGCCCCACTGCTTCGACTGAATGCCCTCCTTGACCACAAGGCCCGTTTCCCCACAGTCCTGCAAGCCGTGGCGGAGGAGCGCAGGATAGGTCTCAGGAAATGTGTGCATTGGGGGGACGGTGTAGTTACGGACATGAGAGCCTGAGTAGTGGGTCAAATTGTATGAGGATTTAGCCGCGCTGGGGAGAGCATAAAAAGCTGAGGAGGATCCGTGAACGTCGTTCGCGGAGCGGCCGCGGGAGCTGGCGAGGCCGTGATAACGTTCGAGTGAGTTGACGGCGTACGTGGATTGGTTCTTCGCGGGATGTTTGTAGAACGTGCTGGTCTCGTTGGAGGGCTTGACTGACGCGTCGCGTGTGCCCGGCGCAGGTTTCGTGGAGGTGGACGTGCTGCGCTGGACGCGAGATTTTTCCTGACGACGATCCTTCTCGTACCACGCGTCGATAAAACGCTTGACGGTAGGGTCCATTGGAGGAAGAAGATCCTTGGGATCTATGCCTTCTGGGACGTCTTGATACAATGGAAGAGGGCGCATTTTGGGGCGCGGAAGGGTCTCCGGAGGAAGAGGAGGAAGCTCTTTTTCGGGGCGCTTGTACTGGTAAGGCTCCCGCGCACCAGGGTATTGTCGATGATAAGGACGCGAAAAGTCGTTGGGATCGCGTTCACTCCACTGGGGGTAGTAAATGGTCCCATCGATATTGTGAGTGGGGTAGTCAGGGTGGTTAAGGTGTTCAACATTTGGGCGAGATGGCAGAGATTTCGAATGTCGTAGAGTAGGATCTCTTTTCGCTTTCGATCTATGTCATCCTCGATATGTGAGGAGAAAAAACGACAAGGGTGTAGACGTACCTGCAGGGGAAGAGTTTCGCTTTCAGCTTATCGAACTTCCCCATCACGCGTCAGAATATTGATAAATAGGTGAATAGTGGTGTTCGAAATTGTAGTGGCAAGGGTTGAGAGAAGAAATATCTTTCGAGGTGGAGAATTTAAGTAGTGTCATCTGTGCCATTGTCTGTTCTGTCTAGTGGCCAAAGGTTAGTAATTCATTGTTCTCTGTGCTCGGTGGCTTTTCATTGTCAGAGGGCCGATGTGTGATGTGAGAGAAAGTCAGAGAAATTGAAATTACGCGGTGAAAATAGAAACATACGGATTTCTAAGAAGAGTAATTGCACACGACAGAATTCCCAAGAAATTCTGTGGCCAGTTTGGGCCAGGCAATATTCATGAGTCTGTCGACGGATCGCCAAGTTATAAATGTTTCACTGGCCCTCCGCTTTGAAGAATGGTAATGCGCTTTATGCTCCTTGCATTGTGTAGTTTATTTCAGCTCCGAGACTTTGTTCTGGATTTATTGCGCAGAGCAGGCGTAAGTGAGTCTGGAAATCCGTGGTTTCAACGGGGGAGATGGAGGCGCGCTGAACGCGTGAAGGACCAAATAAGGCACGCAGATAACGCGCTACACGTGCTACGCGACGCGTTGACGCGTTATTGATCGGTGCGGAGTCTGAAAAGCGCTTGTGTATAATTTCACACACAGCCATCCAAGCGCTTTGCAGTCGACCACATTCATATCGAGTTCATCGTCGCCCACAACGTTCTCGCTATGCCGACAACACGCTCGACGCGCAGCTCTGTCCTTGGCAAAAGGGCCCACCCGCAAGAGCCATCTCTATCGACGGCCTGCGAGCAGCAATTGCAGACACCCGACTCGACTCCCAACCCAAAACGCGTCCGCACTGTATCGACTGCAGTCGATGGTGACGCAAATAAAGAAAATGTCCCACCCTTTATCCCTGAAACTGTAAACGTGGAGATTTCGACTCCGCGGGCTGCTAGAGCGCTTAGGCGGAATGCCACGGAAGTTGTCACAACGCTGGCACGGTCAAGTAAGTCTATTTACATACATAGATATACGCTCAGAATATTGAGCTTTCAAAGCTTCCAGGCGACATGCCTCAATGTCGAGCATTAGTGCACCGTCTACCCCTGTGCACGAAGTTTCACGACTTTCCATTGCTACTCCTCCTCCGACCCCTCCCACTGTTCTTCTGCCTGTTCATGCTCGTGCTCGTGCTCTTTTGCGTTCTACGTGTAACAGTACTGCTGCTCAGATTGCGGGCCGTGACTCGGAACGTGCTACCATCCTCAATTTCATCACATCATTCCTTGGTGATGTTGACATGGAATCTGATGGCGTGCAATCCACCAGCCTCTATATTTCCGGCTCCCCTGGAACTGGCAAGACTGCCCTTGTTAACTCGGTTCTTCGCGATATTCCCAGCGATGCAAAGGTTGTGTTCATCAACTGCATGGCCTTGAACAGTGTCGATTCTCTCTGGGACAGACTGGTTGAGGAGCTTAACAACGGTCGGAAAATGAAGCCCATCAGGGGATCCAAAAATACGAAGGGACGCGATGCCGTCGAGGCTCTCCTGTCCCGTCACAAATCCAAATGGTTAGTACTCAACTACCTTGCGCCGACAGAAGTAACTGATATTGTTTCATTAGCATTGTAATATTAGACGAACTTGACCATATCACGCCCACAACACAATCCCTTTCCTCTCTGTTTTCGCTTCCGAACTCGAATCCTTCTACTCTCTGTCTCATCGGCATTGCCAACACTCATACACTCACATCTTCGTCTTCATCTACCTCGTCCGTATCAGCTGCTAGTAATGTCCTTACTGTTCACTTCGCCCCCTACACTCCGACACAGCTGCAAGATATCCTACAGTCGCGCCTTCAGCCTCTTTATGACATTGACTCCGAGGATGAAGGCAAAACGGCGACGGAAGTCAAGAAATTCTTACCACCTCCTACCTTGATGTTGCTTACGAAGAAAGTCGCGGCTATGACTGGCGACGTACGAAGTCTCTTTGAGGTCTTCAGGGGTGCCATTGACTTGGCTGTGACTGCGGCCTCTGCCAAGGAGGGGGACAACCCACTTGATACTCAGTCCCCGACAGTAACGCCGACTCATGTCCTTGCGGCGTTGAAGGCCTACTCTCCGTCGTCGTCATCTTCGGCGCCCGCAAAAGCCACCTCGCCTATCAAGCCCACGGCAGCCACGCCAACGACGACCAACAGTGAGATTGTCGCTAAGATCACCAGTCTCGGCCTCCAAGCGCGTCTTGTACTCCTCAGCCTGCTTCTAGCGTCGAAGCGCCTGGAAGCAAACCTGCCCATCACCGCGGCAGCTATTACTGCGAGCCCCAAGAAAGCATCCTCTTCGCCCATGAAACGTTCGAACTCCGCTCCAAGCTCTGGGACCAGTGTCGGCGTTGATCCCAACCATCTTTACGCTTACTATGGTGCCGTCTTGAGCCAAAGCGAGAGCGGTATATTCGATGCAGTGTCACGCAGTGAATTCGGAGATCTCGTCAACGTCCTTGAAGGCACTGGCCTTGTATCCCTGTGTGGTTCCTCTGACACCACGGTGGGCAGCCCAAGCAAGCGTTCTTTTGGACGAACTGCCTCGGCCTCTTCCTTCAGTGGCTCCGGAAAGGGTAAAGGCAACGGTGACGTCAAGCTCGCTAATGGCGTCAGGACGGACGAGGTCCTTCGCGGGTTGGGGATTCTCGGCGAAAACCTCGATGTCATGGAAGAAGAGGTCAAGGCCATCTGGGAGCGGGAGAATGCACGGCTTGGGCGCGAGCTGAAGACAATCGAACGCGAGAAGGAGAGAGCCGCGGTCGTTGCCAACGGCTTTGAAGGCGCACGGGAGGATTGAGCTGGTCTCTCCTCTGGCATATGTATTTCTATCATTCTACCATCCATCCAATACTTTATTTCTCATTCATCATCCTCGCATTGTCCTACTCTTCCTTTGTGTTTCCCTTTCATATCCATCCCTCTGAATACTTTTCTTCATTTCATTTATGCTTATCATATATTCCAACCCCGTCATGACCCCCACGCCGATGCCCTGTCATTCCACGATGTTCATGCCCTCATCCATGTTTCTCATTACGATTGGAATCGTACAGAATACATACATATATACACCTACATGCCAACCCTCATCGTTTCTGCTTTTCCGAGTCTTGCTCGCCCTAGACTCGCCCTTCTTTATTCGCGTCAGTAGTGTAGAGTAGTATTTGTATCCATGCAAAGAATTATGATTAATAAAAAGTCTTTACACTCAATCTCTTGGAAATTGAGAATGAAAAGGTGGTGGCTGTGCTTCGGGTGGGAACTTGATCTCATCTAACTTAAGCGAAACGTGTATTCATGCCAATTCTGCGACAAAGCGTCACTCTCTGTAATTTTCACACCCCCTTTCACTGGCAGAAAAATGGGTATGTCACTTCACCTCGTCTATGGTCGCTAAATTTAAATGATAAATCGTAGATTACTTTCAGCATTCTTTTGTGGATCCAAAGGTGGAAGGAACTTCGTTCAATAGCACATCCAGAGCTATTGCCTACAAGTATATACAAGAACG